GTGTGTGTGTGTCGACATGATTATTGCCACGAAATGCTCGCTCAAGGGGTGCCAGAAGTGAAACACAAATCGATCCCCGACGAACTTTCTGGAAGTGTTGTGAGCCTGGCGGGTCGGGTCTCAGCATCTCGCACTTATTGTTCGGTATCCCTGGCTGTATCGTTAATTCGGCATGTGAGCGTGCATGCGCGAGTTTTCGCCTCGCTGCCATCGACTCCTTCGGGGGCAGAACCTGTTATGGCTTGAGCCTTTCCCTTTCAGTTGCGCAATCGTTGTAAAATCTAGCGAGATGCGATCGCGCATGCCGTTTTCTTTGGCCCCGTGTTACATACTCGAACCTGTTACCGAGATTATTCGCTTAACGACAAGAGAGGCAAGCCGCCGCACCCATTCTTTGAACGAGACGTCCAACAAACACACGCGAAATCTGACAACGAACTAGAAGAAAAGCGCTCCACCTTTCCTCATTCGCAGCATCACATTCAAAATCCATTGTGTATTGTGGGCAGTGACTCTCCCACGGTTAACTCCAAACGATTGCCCAACAAAGGCACGCGCTTGAAAAAACCCCTAGGCATCGACATTTGAGATCACTACGAACATAAGGGAGGGCACATTGAATTAGCCGCGATTCTGTAAAAACTCATTTCAGGACTCGTGCAAGTGAACAACTGGAAGGCGCTGCCATTCGAACAGATCACCGATAATCCGGATGAGACTGTGCACTCACTATTCAAAGACATTTCCGGACACATCACTCTTCGAATTCTCACCAAACCGTGGGTCTCAAGCTATGTTCTGTGCGAGTCGCGGTGAGATCAGGCCTGCTCCGGTTTTTGCGCCTGTACAGCAGCGTCGGTTTTCGCTTCTCGAACATATGTACGGAAGATTGTCGCCCGCGCAATCCGATCCTCCTTTGTGTGCGCGCGCGCGAGCGCACATTTGACTCTCGCCATACCTGGCGCCTTTTGTGTTTCAAGTCGCTGCTCGAGCTCGGGCTCATGAATGCGCCAAACGCCACTTCTCAAACACTGCTCATGTTTGCAATCTCGCCCTTCAACACATCCGAACAGCAGTGCGCTTTCGCTCTGTGCGCGGTATCTGCTCGCTGTTTGAAGATCCGCGCCGGTACGGCCAGCTTACCGTAAGCCCTCTCTCGGGACCTCTTAGCGCTGAACCGTGACGTTCGCTTGCCTGACAGGCTAACCTAGACATGACTCCAGCCCGACACAATCAATAGATTATGTATCGTTTTGGTTCCATTAACGTTTTGCGGATTTTTCGATGAGAATACGGAATTTGAATACGTAATTATTTGCGATCCGTCGATCCCTTGTACACGCATGCGATGCACAGAATACGCCGACGGCTTTTATTACCTGGTGATAACGAGCGAAGCCAACAAAAGGAGGGATTAACACGTCAGCGGCTGCGAAAGACCGCTGTCTAACGACATTCATATAAATAGAGAATTTGTCAAATGAACACACAGTCATTCCAACGTCCATTAAATTTCTAATAGCGTATGTTTAGAAGCACTTCCGACTCAGCTAGTACCCAATGTATAACAGATCTCAAACAGCGACTCCTAAAAACGGCGGTCTCCAAGAACCCACAGATTCTAAACAGTGTGGATAACCAACAAATTAAAGTATGCTGTCCTTTATGGCTTTGCATCTCACTGCACTTTGTGCTTGTTTAGGAATTGATCAATCAAGTTATCGCCGGTGACGATCCAGCAATGCTGAATCACGAGCAGATCAACTCCATCAACGAGTGGCTCGAGACGCTCGACCAGGGTGACGAGCGACGAAGGTAAGTAAGCACTCACTTAACGACATTGCGAATACGTCAATCCGCAAAACAAATACCCGATGCCGCATATCCCTCATTGGAGCGGATTACGATAATCTTGTTAGTCTACCGTAATCCCGGCAAGTTGTGAGCGGCTGTCTGTTGTGCTTTGAGATGGATAAGCTTATGCGAGGCAAGAGCGTGGCGAGGCAGCGAGGG